GCGGCCAGCAGCAGACATCACCTTCGCGCAGGAGACGCGGGCGCGTGAAGGCGGCAGAGAGGCAGTCCAGCGTTGGCATCGCAAACGCGGCTTCGACTTCGACCTTGCTGCAGGGCTCAGCACGGGCGAAGGGCCCCAGTCCGTCTCAGGCGGGGTGGGCATCGGCGTTCGGCAGCGGTTCGCGGTAGCCACGATCGACACCAAGTTCAAGCAGCCCCACCGCGTGCCCAGACGGGTGGTCAACATAGGCGACGGGCTCGCCATCGATCTCATGCCTGTCTACCTTCGCGACGGGGAGAGCATGAGTGAGGCCAACGCAGACATCCTATGGGACGTAGCGTCGCAGCTCAGGGTGGCTGCGCGGCCGTGGATTCTAGCTGGCGACTTCAACATGGACCCCCTCCAGATCGCGGCGCGGGCCGCTACTGCTGGAGGACTCGCGCTGCATACAGGGACGGCGACCTGCAGGGCGGGGGCGCTCAGTGAGCTTGATTACGCGATCATCTCCAACGAGCTCCAGCATTTCGTGTTCAGCCATGGGCCAGTGGTCGAAGCCCCCATCGGGCCACACAGCCCCGTCCTGTTGGAAGTGCGAGGGCTGCATGCGGACGCCACGGTGCAGCAGCTACACCGCACGGCGCGGCTGCCGTTCGATCGGGCCATCGGCTGCACTCCCTGGGCCCCGCTGTCCGCCTGGACCTGGGAAGAGGGCACGGCCCCCCCTAGCCCGAAGGCAGCCATGCAGGAGTGGCTCAGGCACGCCGAGGGCTACCTTCTTCCACTCTACGACCTGCACGGCGACGAGGCTCAGAAGTTCGCTGGCAGGGCGGACGGAGTGCGCTTCGTCAACGTCTCGATCGCCGACGCCAGCCGTCGCCGCTGGGCGCAGCTCAGCTCGTATGAGACCCACGCCTTGGGCGGTCTGGTCAGCCTACTGCAGCGCGCCGACTTGCTGGCGGCGCGAGGGAAGGACCCACAGGGCCTGGCCAGCCTGGGCAGCCGCCTGAATGCGCTGCGCCTGGCCGACTACGACGGCAGCTGCGGCCCCGTGCCCAGGGGGGAGCTGGGCGCTGCAGCTACCTCCAGCGACGCGGCATTGAGGAGGAGGCTCATCGAGCACGCCAGGGCTCAGCATCAGGCCAGCCAGCGCAGCGACGCCGCAGCAGCTAGGAAGCAGTGGCAGGCCTGGGCCAAGGGTGCGGCCACAGGCGGGGGGAAGCTGGCCCATCGCTTCTCCAAGCCCGAGCCGCTGGCCAAGGCGGCCCTGGTCACGGCAGACGAGGACGAGGGCGACGCGCTTCCCGTCAATGGCGACGAGGCAGCGCAGCACTGCCTCAAGGCGTGGCCCCCGCTCTGGCTCGACCCTCGACGCCGAGGAGGGCTCGAGGAGGCGGCCAGCTGGGAGGCAACCGAGCCGCTGCCGCACCTCGAGGTGGACAGCCTCAGGCACCTGCTCAAGCGGCACGGGCGGCGGGCTGGCCTGGGTTGGGACCAGCTCCACCCGAGGCAGCTGCTCCGCTTGGACGAGTCCTTCCTGGTCAGGCTCCTCGAGGTGCTGGCCAGCTGGGAGGACGCGCCCGAGGCCTACCTGGACTGGCTCTCGATCATCGTTTTCCGCGCCAAGGCCGACGGTGGCAGGAGGCCTATTGCGCTCACCTGCCTTCAGATTCGGCCCTGGTCGGCCATGCGGGGGCCCATCGTCAGGGAATGGGAGGCGCAGCACCATGAGGCCTGGTACATCGGCGGGGAGCTCAACACGTGCGAGAGGGCTGGCTGGGCACACCAGACCCTCACAGCCCTGGCATATGAGAAAGGCCTCAGCACGGGCACTGTCCTGGGCGACCTGCGGAAGTTCTACGAGAACATCAGCCACAATGAGCGCTTGGTGGAGGCGAACTCTACGGGCTTCCCCGTTAAGCTCCTCAGGGCTTGCTGCGTCACGTACTCAGGCTACAGAGTCATCACGGTTGACGGGGCCTGAAGCGCGCCCTTTCGAGCTGCGGGCACGGCGCTTGCAGGCTGCTCCTGCGCTACGGGCATTGCCAAGCTTCTCCTCTTCAGGTCCTTCAAGAAGGTCGCGGCCTTCTACCCCAGCGTGCGGCTGGGCAGCGTCGTCGACGACTTCACGCTCCAGACAGTTGGCACCACGGGCATGGTGAGAGCTGTGCTAGGACCCGCCATGCGCATGCTGTTGGGCTGCTTTGACGAGAAGCGGGTGCCCGTCCACTTCGGGAAGCTACGCTACCTCACACCCGACGCGGAGGTTGCGAGACAGCTAGAGTCAGAGTGGCCCGCCGAGGACGGCAGGGCGCAGCGCGGCAGGCTGCTGGGGAACGACGTGCACGACGGGCGCTGGAGGCGCACAGCCATCGGTGCACATCGCGTCGAGGATGCGCTGGCCAGGTCTCGGCGGCTGCAGATACTGAGGGCGGCCGGCGCCAAGGTCGCCGCGGTGCAGAGGGGCGGCCCCACGGCAGCCGCCACCTGGGGCTCGGCCACG